ATTATGAGAATGACACTTCACCTCTGTGGTCTTCCTCCTGATAACCCATAACTCCAGACTTACCATAAGAAAAACATCAAATAAATTCCAATATTGGAGGATCCTATAACACGCCTAAGCAGTACTCCTCAAAACTGTCAATGTCGTCAAGAACAAGGAAGACCTGAGGAACTGCCACAGCCCAGAGGAACCCAAGGATACATGACAACTAAATGTCACGTGGTATCCTGGACGGGATAGTGGACTAGAAAAAGGATAGCAGGTAAAATCTAAGGAAATCTGAATAAACTATAGACTTTAGTTAGTAACAATGTATCAATATTGGTTCATTAATGTAACAAATTTACTAAACTGATATAAGATGTTACGAATGGCTGTGGGATATAGGGGACCCCTCTGTACCATCCTTTCAATTTTTCTATAAACCTAAAGTTATTCTAAAACAATAAAGTATATTATAAAAAAGTTAAACAATGTAAGAGTTAAAAAATAATGCAAAAATGTCATGTGGAAGGAAGATATTCAATACTTATAGCAAATGCTATGAAAACTCCATCATTAATTTATTCGTTTAATAACTATGCCTGGAGTGACTACCCTGAGTTAGGCAGTAGCTACTCAATGACTTAGGATACGTCAGTTAGCAAAACACTCATGGTTCCTACAGCCATGTCTTACAATCTCATAGGTAAAACATAAATAAATCAACACAAAAATAATATTTTCAAATTTTGATACATACAACAGAAGAGAAATGCAAAACGCAATCTAAGTATAGACAGCGAACTTTAACCTGGTGTGAAAGAGATGGTGTGAATGGGGAAGAGTGATATTCTTATTTTCATTTTCTAAAAGGAGAAAATTGGGTTTCTCAGAGATTTCCTGATAAATCACCAGTAAAATTTAAAAAAGAACTAAAAACTGCAATTTTTCTTGTCGATTCCAATTTCAAAAATTTGATACTGTAATACTATTAACGGTAATTTTTGAAAATCACCAAGATGAAAAAAGAATGTAATTGTCTTGAAAAATCTGGTTCACCTAAGATAAGTATCAAAAAATAGGAGGTAAAATTAATTCTGCTATATGATTTAGGGAGCAGTGAGTAAACTTCAAGAAGTAGACTATTTTACTGTAAGCTAAAGTATTTCTTTACTGTAAGCTGAAGAGATTATTTATGAAGAAGCAAAGATATCTTTTTCTCACTCTAACAATTATGTAGGCACTTTACAACACGCTGCTGCAAGGACATTAACTGCACAGCGAATATCAGCTTTAAATGTTTCTACACATGTAGAATTTTAGAGAAGAGTAAGTGATCACTCCCTAATGAATGACATCAACCTTCTCTGACCTATTGAGCAAACTCAATTATTTCTTGGTAATGGCATTAAGATTGGATAAATCAGACCATATTTTATCTATTTGTTCTTTATACTTTAGGTAGATTGAAAAGAAAGTATTTTTTAAAATAACTATTCAAATTCAATTACTTAATAATTATTGATGGGTTCTAGAAGATTAGGTGGTACCCCCAAAGTCTTTGAAGTTATTCAAATAACTTTAATAATAGTTTTGCCAACCACATTTCATTTACATGCTATGACCGTGCTTTGAAGATGGGTTAAAACAATTACTTTTAAATTAATCTGGATGCAGCATTGACATAGATAATACTCAATTTACCTCCAAATTTATAAAAGACTAGTGAAATACAGCTATTAATGACTTTTCTAATTCATGGTTGCTCTAATATGATAGTTTCTTTAAAGATCTTCAAATAGATTCATATATAAAGGTTGCAAAGAGAGTTTTTATAAGGTTTATTATAAGGTGCTCTCATTATTTTAAGCAACCCCAAAATAATGGACCATAGGAAAGTCTCATGCCAAGAAAATTCTCTCTTAATACATCAAAATCCAAAAATAACAGCTCTTCTTGAATTACTAAAATCCAGTTGAGGGGGCCGGCCCAATGGTGTAGTGGTTAAGTTTGCACGCTCCGATCTGGCGGCCCAGGGTTCACGGGTTCAGATCCTGGGCGCAGACCTACACACCGCTCATCAAGCCATGCTGTGGCAGCATCCCACACACAAAATAGAAGACTGGCATAGATGTTAGCTCAGGGCCAATCTTCCTTATCAAAAATAAATAAATAATAAAAATAAGAGTCAATTGATTCCATACAATAGAACCAGTTTTGCAAAACTGTGGACCAGAAATGACAACAATTGGGAGATTAATAACAAATTCATTGCATCTCCACGTAAAGGGGAATTTCTACCTGCTCAGGGACGGGAAGTGAATGTCACTTCCTGAACTCTGCTCTAATGTTCCTCATGTCACATGTGCTCATCCAGAAGGAAATGAAGAGTGTAGGACATGGGACAAACAATATGAACAGCACACCCCTGGTAGGAGAGCAAGGTACCACTTTTATGAAAAAATATAGTATATGGAGACAGAGGTGACTCTTTTCTCCTAAATTTAAGGGGACATATTTCAAAGTCCAAGAGGAAGAATCATTGATTCATTTAACCAATATGATCGTAATAACTAAAAGTTTCTGTGTGCCCATCGTGTTCTGAGCAGCATGCTAAGCGCCCCCGCATTATCGCTTCAAGCGAGTCAAGTCATATAAGGTGAGAGCACAGATTCCAGAGCCAGACCGCCAGGCTCTCGTCCCAGCTCCACCACTCACTAGTAGGAGGGTCTTGGGCAAGTTAATAAACCTCTATGTGCCTCAGTTTCTTCAGCTGTAAGGTGGAATTAACCACAAATCTACTTGAGAGTGCGGTCACGTATATTCAATGGGAATAAATATGTAAAGCTCATATTGCTTGCCTTTTCTTCTAAATGATCCCTTCAAGGAGAGAGATACATTTATATTTTATCATTCTGTTGGTTCCTAGCACCATTATGTTCTCAAGGAAGTTCTCAAGGAAGATTTATTGGGTAGTGCAGAACTCCTGATCACCTGCATTTGAAATAGAGCGCTTGTTAAGTTACAGGCTCCTAGGATCCACCCAGACATACTCAACATCTGGGGCTGGACTTGAGAAGCTGCATCTTAAACAAACATTCCAGCTCTCTGATGTGCACCAGAGCCGGAGACACACTGGCACAGCGATCTGAGTCTTGGTCTCTTATTCCGTAAATTGCGAATGATTATAATACTATCTATCTTATAAGGTTATTGTAAGAATTAAATGGAATACAGCATATATAAAATGCTTAACACAATGCTAGCCAGTATATTAGCTATTATTTTATTCATGTGGCTGGAACATAGGATTGACGTCAAGAGTGCTAAGGAGTGATAGGGAAAAGAAGGCTGAGGCCAGGTTGGGCAAGTTTTAAAATCAGATAAAAAAAAGAAAGTCTAAACTAAGTGTTTTGACTAGGAAGGCAATACCATCATATCTTGCCAGCAAATATATTAACACAGATACAAGTCTGCCTGCTTAAAATTTAAACAAAATGAGGCTTCAAATTTATTTTTTTTAAACTAATAAAAATATTGTGCTAGAGAATAAATCAAATAATTACAAAGTATTTATTTAGAGTCTATTAATAAAATCACTCAGAGAGAAAACAAATTATTTGTATGTAACAAAGTACAGGTTCATAGTTACAAGACTCTCACTAAAAGAGATGTATACTTTAGAGGTTACATATTCATCTCCTTAAAAGCTAAGCGCAGCAAATGCTAGGAATTTTAATATATATTGCATTGAAATGATACCGTTCTTTGCTATGAATGTCCTGTAAACTCGCTTCACATTGCATTTTACGTCTCTCACCATTTCCTTTGCTCCCTTTCTCCTCCCTCCATGCACATCTCAACATCATCTTCACTTCCTATTGCATGGAGCCCACTTTAAATTTCAAGGAGGATGAATAACTATTTAAATAACAACTCTTTTCAACAAACACATCGCTGAAAAAAAATCCTCTGTGTGTGTGCGTGCACCCGTGTGTGTTGCAATGAGGTGTTTTACTGTTCATTTACTTAAAGTTTGACTTGGCTTTTCTGTAATTGCCTTCAGCTACCTAGCTTTAGCATCTACTCCTATTTTCACCCAACCTCTGACATATGCTCAGCTGTAAACCACATGTAACAATCTCGCTGGCGCAGCCACAGAAGGTGACCCAGATTACACAACACTGTGCACTAATGCCAAGTCGTCTTGTTCAACGGCAGCTGTGCTAGGCTTTGCCTTATTGATATTCAGATTCAACAGACGCAAATCACACGGCCCCTCTGACAAGCACACACTCTGCCTGTCTTCATTTTAAACGTGTTCAATAGCTCCCGTCCTTCGTAAACACACAGCTGAGGCCATTCTGTCTCCTCTGATTTTCCATACTGCCATACACCTCACAAAATTATCCCAGCAACATTACTCTTGTTTTTATTTGGGGAAGTCTGTGGAATATAATATCTTCATTTATAAAACAGAAGCACATACAATAGAAAGGAAGCCCATTTCTCTCTGGCAAAAGAGACACTATGAACCATTATTCTTTGGGAAAAATTGAGACTCTCCCCTTGATTATGAGAGCAAATGTTGGAATACAAAGTTCTTTAAAAGTGCAGACAAATACATAGCAACAGGAATAAAATGCAATATAGCTTGTGATTAGCTTCCTCTTAAGGGCGTCAATTATAAAGTGCCAAATCTATTTTATAAAAGTGTAAACACAACAAAATACCTTCTTCTCTATGTGGCCATTTCGGTTTCCTGCTCACCACTCAAAGAGTTAAAAAAGAATACTTTCTATATCTAAATGCTTATTGGAAATCTTAGAATCAGAAAAATGTTCACACTGACTGGTACTACTGATTTGTTTAACACAGGACTCCTGCTCACGCCAAATTCTTTTTACTTCTTTTTTAAGCATTATATTCTGTAGAACATGTAACTTTATGGACTATTTGCAAGAAATATTTAAAAGTCAGGGAAAGTGCCAGAAGTTCAATAAATGGAAAAGGCTTACTTTTTATGTAGATGAAGTGTGAGAAACTGAGGTAGAAGATGAGAAGGTAGTTAATTTTCTTACACGCCATGGTCCTATTAAGAAGACACGCTCTGAGGCGTTGCTGGTGGTTTGGTCCCAGTGTGGTCCTGACCCTTGCACGACTCAGAAGGGAGCGGGTGCCTCGGAGTCCGCGGATGCCATCTCTGCCCCTGCCCCTCCTACAGCTCCTTCTCGGAAAACACGGGGACTTAGATCCAAAAAGCAGTTGTGCTTCTTAGCATCTTACTTCCACAGGAGGATGGGGTGATTTTTCAAACCTGGTGCAGATTTTTTCATGCTGGACTGGATTCATCCCCCCTCAGGGTGTTTCTACTAGCTTTCTTCCATTAACAATGCCTCCTCAAAAGGACCTACATTAGTTTAGTGTCTTCACTCAACTCTTAATAGAGGAATTAATTTCTGATGACTGCCTTAGCGCACAATTATTATGATTTGGCGACTCTTAAAGGGACACCCTATATTCCTACATGTTTACTTTCGCCTTCAGAACACAATTCACAAAGTAAATTTTTCTTTTCATAGATAGTACTCTCACAGCTCAGTCAGATTTCTGTTATTGATGAAATGGACAGAGTTCTGGAGATTATTTGGGAGTAGGTTTTCTTCCATAAACCCAGAGCCCATTTTATACCGTGCTCATGATATGTATATCCTCTGGGATCTCTAAAATTTTTGTTTTATCATAAATGTTGAATGCAAACATGTTTCCTTACTTTTTATATATACTTATTACAGATACTACAGCATTTTCTTCAGATTAAATTGTTCAAGTCCTTAAGATTGTATTATTTTTAGACACTTCATGGAAATGTCTATTAGTTAGAATTGAAATGCTTATTCTCTGACTGGGATTAGTACTAGTATATAGCCTTTGTCCATTGTTAAAACTGGTTGTTTGTTACACTTAAAATGCAATTTATATGACAGATTTTGTATAAAGTTCAATAGCTCTGTCAGGTATTTGCATACCTTGAAGTCTCTATATTTCTTGCCGTGTATCTAAACTGGGAATAATATTTTGATAGTTAGCTTAATATTTTCTACTAATGTTATGTCTGACTTATTCCAAGAGAATTTTACTTGCTATGGTGGGATTTATCCATTTAAAATTATTTATTTCTTACAGAGTTCATGACAGTTATTATTTTTAAAGATTTTTCCCTATCATGCAAATAATTTAATTTGGGCAATTTAACAGAGTAAAATAAGGTCAGGTTACAGAGGCATCATTAATCCTCTATTCTAATCCTCATATTTTATCAATTGGAAAATTGAGATGCAGAGCAATTGTACTGTCTGCCCAGAGTCATCTAGTGAGTTAGTCACAACATTAGGACTAGAGTCTCCCCATTGATTTCTAGAACATTATTCCTCCATAAACCCTGTGGATTCCTTTTCCATCTTTATTCTTATGTATTCCTTCATGCTTTTTGCAACAATGCCACTCTGGGAAGTCCACATACTGGACCAACCTAATCTTTCATTTGTCCTAAAAATGGCCTCCAGGGAGGGATGAATGGGCAGAGCACAGAGGATTTTTAAGGCAGTGAAAATACTCTGTATGATACTATAATGATGGATATCTGTCATTATACTTTTGTCCAAACCCATAGATTGTACAACACCAAGAATGAACCCTACGGTAAACTGTGGACTTCGGATGATTATAATGTGTCAATGTAGGTTCACCCTTGGTAAAAAATGTACCATTCTGGTGAGTGATGTTGATAAAGGAGGAGGATCTGCATGTGTGGAGACATCTCTGTACCTTACTCTCAGTTTTGTTGTAAACCTAAAACTTCTCTAAAAAAAAATAAATTCTTAAAAAAAAAAACTAAAGGCCTCCACCTTGAACCTCAGTGCTAAGAGAGTCACAGCATATAAGGCCAGTTGGTAGAAGGGACACAAAATGAATAGCTGCAGACATAAAATCTGACGGTATTAGAAAACTTTCCGTAAAGTGTGTTTAGTTAGGAATGTCACAATTAAAGAGACAAATAAATTTAGAGTTTTTCAAAAGACAAAAGTATCAAAGATAATAAATAGTTGGGGAAATATTCTACACAAAGAATGGTTGAAGGAATCATAAACATTGAGCTTGAATACAGGAAAATTAAGGGATGTAGCCATTAAACAAATGAGTCAATGGCAAATGTGTCAGATTTGAGGCATGTCGGGAAATTTTTTTAAAAGATGTAATATTTAAGCTGCATTTTCAAACATAAGTATAAGTACAACAAATAAATAGAGGGAGAGTGGTGTTTAAGGGCACTGCAGGAAAAGGGTACACGGGTAGGAATAGAGGCATTACATGGTTGGGCAGACCAAGGAACTGCAAATGTTCTGATGTTGCAGAAACACAAGTGTGAAGAGATGTCAGCACATAAGACTCAATAAACCACAAAATCCACATATTTTAACTTTCAGTATGAAGAAGGAAACCATTAATAGATTTTAAATAGTGGATTAGCATAATGAGACTTGCATTTATAAAAATGACTCTAGTTGCAAGTAGCAGTGGTTGGAAGGGGGCAGATGAGAAGCATGGAAACTAGTTAGAAGGATGTTGCTGTGACCCTCCAAAGAGATGATGAGTGCCTGAACTACAGCAGTGGGGAGAGCAAGGAAAAATCAGGTAAAAGTAAACTAGATAGACCTAAAGGACCTCTGTAAGGAATAAGACAACAGGAAAGCTATAATTTTTACCAGCTTGAGTACTAGGCCACTCACAGAGATGAAGAATATAGACAAGGGCTTTCAGACAAGAAGCAACAAGCACTCTCCCCACAAGTCAAACACACTTATATATATTTGTATTTGGACAAAATATAACTTTGTGAAAAATACATGGTGAGCTCAAAAATAAAAAAGGGAAATATCTAATTGGGACAGATAATTCTTGTGTTTGGCTTCATGCAGGAAGCCCAATTCCAATTCCTCCCATTGACTCTGGAATGTAGAACAGAAGTGGGACACCTACTCATGAATGTGGATAGAAAGGGAATTATTCATGAGAAAGAGGAAACCCAAACCTGCCCCAGGTGTGAATGTAGGTCCCAACTTGCATTGAACATGAGGTGCAAATTCTAAGCCAAAAATCTGATTTACAAAAAAGAGGAGGCTGGCTGGTGGTGTAGTGGTTAAGTTCGGCACACTCCACTTCAGTGGCCTGGGTTTGTGGGTTTGGATCCCAGGCATGGACATACACCACTCATTAAGCCATGCTGTGGTGGTGACTCACATACAAAATAGAGGAAGACTGGCACAGATGTTAGCTCAGGGCCAATCTTCCTTAAGCAAGAAGAGGAAGATTGGCAACAGATGTTAACTCAGGGCCAATCTTCCTCACCAAAAAAAAAAAAAAAGAGAGAAAGAGAAAATATTGGTTTGGAAATAGGGATATCAATGGGCCCATGAGATAAGACTAATAGGAACCATTATGTGGGGATGCTACAATTCAAAATTCACACAGAGTTTCATGGAAGGCAACCCCTACTGAAGATGAGCTCATGGTCTAAAATTATAGATCAAACTAGAAACCCACTGCCACAAGAGACATCAGACATGAGAATGGGGAACATTCACACTCAAAAGACTCAAGATATTGGAGCTATCTGAAAAGACTTAAAATAACGCCACAAAATAAGTCTGTTCAAATTTTACAAGATTTCAGTGGTATTTTTCACAGAAGTAGACGAAAACAATCCCTAAATTTATGTGGAACCACATAAGACCCCAAATAGCTAAAGCAATCCTGAGAAAGAAGAACAAAGGGGGAAGTATCTCACTTCCTGATTTCAAGCTATACTATGAAGTGATAATAATCAAAACAGTATGGCACTGGCATAAAAACAGACACATAGACCAATGAAACAGGATCAAGAGCCCAGAAATAAACCCATGCATACACGGTCAACTATTTGGCTAGGGAGCCAAGAATGTTCAGTGGAGAAAAGACATTATCTTCAATAAATGGTGCTGGGAAAATTGGATATTCACAAATAAAAGAATGAAATTAGACCCCTATCTTACACTACTCACAAAACTTAACTTGAAATGGATTAAAGACTTAAATGTAAGACCAGAAACCATAAAACTTCTAGAATAAAACAGGAATAAAGCTCCTTGACATAGGTCCTTTTAGCTCACTATGAAGTCATTGTTTTAGTTGAGTTGATCTAGACTTGATTTATACAAAACAGTCTTCCTGTGACTAGCCTGCCCCTTTTCACTAATCCAACCAGATTTACTAAAATAAAAAAATTGACATTGACTACCTGGCTCACATGGTCATAGGTACTGGCAATACAGCAACAAATGAAACAAAGTCGTTGCTCTCATAGAGGTAGGAAAAAGACAATAAAAATAAATAAATATGTAATAAATATATTTCCGGTGGTAAGCCCTAGTGAAAGAAATTAATTGGGATATGAGAAACAGGGTGTGCTAGGGAGGTGGAGGATTGCTATTTTACATAAGGTGATCAAGGAAGATCGAGTGAGATAAGAGCAGAAACCTGAAGGAAGTAGAGGAGTAAGCCATGTGGGTTACTTTCAAAAGTAATCCTCCCCTTAACCCTCACCCTTTAGGAAGAGATTTCCAGGTGGGGATATCATCAAGGGCATTTGAGGTGGGAGCGTGCTTGATGGGTTTGAGAAACAGCAAAGAGGCCGCTTGCTTGCGGATGGAGCAAGGATAAGACAAGTTGAAGACATCAGAAAGACAAGCAGGAGCTGGGTCTTGGCAGACCCTTGAAGCCATTGTATCCCTTGGTTTTTACTCTGCGTGAAATGCGGAGTCATTTCAGGGTCTTGAACGAAGTAGCAATAGGATCAGATTTATACACTTAAAGGATTACTCTGGGGGCCGGCCCCGTGGCTTGGTGGTTGGGTGCGCGCGCTCCGCTGCTGGCAGCCGGGGTTCGGATCCCGGGCGCGCACCGACGCACCGCTTCTCCGGCCATGCTGAGGCCACGTCCCACCTACAGCAACTAGAAGGATGTGCAGCTATGACATACAACTATCTACTGGGGCTTTGGGGGGAAAAAATAAAAATAAATAAAATTATAAAAAAAAAAAAATAAAGGATTACTCTGGCAGCCATGTGGATAATGGGCTATTTAGCAGGGCAAGGGAGAAACTGAGAGACCGGTTAGAAAGTTATTGAAGAATCCAGGCAAGAACCAGCAGTGGGGACCAAGGTGGTGCTAATTGGGGTGGTGAAAACTGTTCAGATTCT